TGTAATTTAGTGGGTTTGTTTTAACTAATGCTGAGCCATCAAAACAAACCTCTCATGTTCTGAGAGTCTGCTAAAACTTAATTTATGCCATTATAGCACAGAATATTGGGTCCATGGGAAGGCCACACTATCATGCATCTAGTTGTTCTTGTACTGGAGGACATGAGAAGTACAGCTGGGTATCATCAGCGTATGTATGATAGGAGAGGTTGTGACTCTTGATGATGCTGTGTAGTGGGAGCGTGTAGATATTGAACAATTTTGGACCGAGAACCGATCCTTGTGGAACAGAACTTTAAATGAACTGTGTCGGCGGTAGCGTCTCGAACACATACAGCTTGTGACCTGTTGGAGATGTAGGATCCAAACCATTGGAGAGCTTTCCCCCCAATACCAATCTGCTGTACTCTTTCTAACAGAATTTCATGGTCAACAGTGTCGAATGCACCACTCAGATCCAGAAGGATAAGCCCAGTTACCCTTCCACCATCCATCGCTGTGAGTATGTCATTTTGTACTCGTAGGATGGCTGTCTCAACGCTGTGATTTACTCTGTATGCAGAATGAAAGTCGTCGTGAAGGTTGTTATCTTTTAGGTAAGACTGGAGGCGAATGGACACCACTCGCTCAATAACTTTAGAGAGGTAGCTGAGGTTTGCCACAGGACGGTAACTTGCGAGGTCATTCTTGTCGAGATGTGGCTTCTTGAAGAGAGGTTTCACAAGAGCATGTTGCATACACGTTGGGAATGTGGCAGAATGGAAGGACTTATTAACTATCTTTGCGATGAATGGGGCAAAGACATCAACATGTTCCTTGAGGAGACCCGTGGGAATTCGATCTAGCTCACATGTCGATGTTGGTGAACCCCATGATAACTTTCTTTACTTCAGCAGTGGAGGTAGGGATGAAGTCATTCAGCACTGTCTCAAATTATGCTGTCTCAAAGACCATTTTGCACCATAAACAGGAAAAAATATGCTTAAAGGTATTTTTAATGCTTGAGGTTCTTTGGTTTAAGATAAACAGTTATCAACAAAATCAACATCATCAAGCAAAAGTCAGTTTGGGTATAGTTTGGGTGACTCGGGCTAATAAACTTGGTTACTCACGTTACATTTTTGGTTACTCACGTTACAAAAGTTACTCACGTTACCAAATTTTGTTGCCTTTTATTCTTAAATGTGTGTATTAGTGTCAACAAAGCACTTATATTTATATCTATGTTCATGCAAAGAATGATAATCCTAAATACCAAAATTTAATTCATTATAAATGTTGGTGAAAAAAAACTTTTATATCTTTTCGGTTACTCACGTTACATTGACCAAAAAAAGGTATAAAATGCTACTTTTTGACATCTACAAATGGATGACGGCTGTGAATTGACATATGTTTCAGAGATTATGACTATCACACATGTACATGCTAGAAATAAGGTTATGATATCTCCAATTGCATTAATAGCAATCAATGTTTAAACTTTACCTAATTTTTTGAGTTCTTTGTAGTGAAAAAATATTTTTCACTTTACGACACGATTTCTCAAAAAATGTTTGATAAAATTGGGTTTTCTTTGTTAATTTCTCATACTTGAATGTATACTCTGTAATAAAAATGTGAAACTGGGTTAAAAAATATAACTTTTTTCTTAGCCATGTCCGTCGAACCGTGGAATTGCCCATATGTATCGTGGTCTCCACTATCAATACCCCTAACGTGATGACACAATTCGAGGATTAATTTGCTGGATTCAACTCAAGCATTAAGGAGACAATCCAGGGTGAATCGAAGCCAATTTTAGTGCAATGAATCATTGCAGAAGAGCATTCATGTAAGCCGGCACAAATTCTCGGGTCCCGAGAGTGCTGACTTAGCCGGAGTTTACTGTACAAGCATTTTTTTTATGCAAAACAGTTGTTGAGAGGTGTTTTGTGAAGACGGAAAAGACAACAGGATTGTTTTTTTAAATTTATTTATTCATTTATTATTATATTTTTTTGGACTTGCTGATAAAATTTTTAGGATCGCAGCCTAAAAATAGGGTCGATTGGGTAACCAGAAGCAGAAGTATTTTTTGTTTTGGCCTAAAGTCTCTTCAAACTGTAGTCTGCAACACAGGAGTAACATTATTTGACCTTTTATTCAACCCATACATGTAGCTGTAGAATCAAATAAGTGCGTATTTTAGATGCAAGGGACATTAGATTGCAGGGAGGTACCGTCACTCACGTTACATCAATCACATTACTTCCTCTTCATGGTTTCTAATATGCCATAAAATCTGAGTTTGATGAACTGCAACATAATGAAACTCTTTTGAACCTTTCTCCCTGCCTTATACACAAAAACTCTCCATAACAGTCACATTTTGCATGTTAAAACAAGGTGCCAAAATGACTACCAAAAAGTCATTTGAAGACTTTTGCCATATCTCACGAATGCAATTTGCTAAATTTAAAATTCTTTTTGCATTAGGTTTGTTAAGCAATAGGTAAAAATTGCAAAATGTGTGACGTCATGATGACGTTATTAAAAATTGAGATTTTTTAAAACATATATAAAAAGGGAAAATCCAATTATCATGAAACTTGGTGGGTAGGTAGATAAAAGTACTAGTACTTTTAGTTGGCCTCCACAAATTCTGAAATTTCATAATGATTACGTCATTGGTTGATTTTTAATGTTTTTTTTTGTTGAAAATTTAAAATTATATTCTGCATACAATTTTTTTTATTCATTTAATTGGCATTAAACTTGGTACAAACTAAAACCACAATTGAATAATGTGCAAGGAGAAATATTGTTACGATGACGTCATCATGGGGCATGTGACGTCATCATGAAAGGACGTTTTTCAAAGTTTTCTATTTAGAAAACATTCGGTCTGATTGGCTCAAAATGTTGTATGATCCTGGTCCAACACGGGTTTAGGGAAATTAACCTAAAGTCATGATAAAAAAAAAATTAATTCGATTTTTAATGAGATTTAATTTGATACAAAAAATCAATCTTTGTAACAATTTTTTATGCATGCAAAATCTTCTGCAGATCGGTGGTTATTACAGATTTTAGGAGTTTTATTATCTTCGACAAATATGTCAAACTTGTCTTCAATTTTTTGAATGCAAGAGTATTTCTGATCCTCACGTGACCGTTTTTATTATCCTCTACAAAATTACAGGGCGCTTGCAGTTTTACAACTGACATTCGACCGAGATTGCATGAGCTTGGCAATGGGAAACTGTACTCGGTGTAATTCTACGCAGCTCGCTGATATTTCGCCTACCACATTCTCGTAGTACACATGGTCATGATGGACAAAAATATGTTTTGTGTACATGTACATTGTGCATATATACATTGATGATGGAGTCTCACATCGTTGCCAACGCATGAATACACAGCAATTATGTCGAGTTAAGTCCTATTTTGGGTTTTTGCATGGGAGTGGAGTCTTGATCCACACACTCGACCATACTTTGGGCTAGTGAAACCTGGGATAGGGTCTTGTGTGCTTGTGCACTTCAGCTTCCTTTTTGTTCTCTTTGTCTCCAGTTGAATTTGTCTGTCGTTCTTGAAGTGCCTGACTGCTGAATGGCAGCCTTGGCGCCACGCATTTCGGTGTTGACTGTGTTCCCAGCCTCTCTCTAGGCTACATGTGCGCAAGTTATGATTGTGCCCAAGTACTGCAAGGGAGTTTGTGTTGAGACCTTGAAATTGTTGAGACCTACGATAATCGGTCTCGAGACCGGTCTCGATACCGAGACCTGCCTCGAGACCTACATCACTGCCTCGAGACCTACATCACTGCCTCGAGACCTACAGCACTGCTTGCCGATACAATTTTTAGGGTTGCAGCCTAAAATAGGGTTGAGTGGGTAACCGGAAGCAGAACTATTCTTTTTTTTTTTGCCTTAGGGGTGTTCACTTACTTCAGTGGCACACACAAGTGACACCACATTGCCCACCCACCACTGCTGCCCACCCATTTCTTTGCTAATCCCTGTTGCTAGTCATGACACATTCCATGTTGGTTAGGTACACTGAAAATTGTCCTTGCTAACTCCCTGTACATGTACGAACTGCAAGCTTGCCAGGAGGATCCTCCCAAGATTTACTTGCAGTAGGCCTATTTTTTTTAATAATGTTAACATCACTTTGAGCCTGAAAATAAAAGATCACCTGGAGAGGTTCTCAGAACCTCGTGCAACCCACCTGTGGGCATTTTTGAATGTCAAATAAAATGAATCACAGTATTCCGTCTGGCTAGACCGTCCGTCTGGCTGGAGCGCCCGTCCGTGCAGCTTAGTTTCCGGATGATAACTTGAGTTAGAAATGTTGTTTGGGATTGTAACTTCAGTAGAGGGTTGCCCTTGGGAGTAGGCAAGTTGGGATTGGTTTTGGGGTCAAAGGTTAAGGTCACCGTGGTGAGTTAAGGGGAAATGGTTTCCGGATGATAACTTGAGTTAGAAATGAGATTTTGATGTCTAACTTTGGTAGGGGGTTGCCCTTGGGAGTAGGCAAGTTGGGATCGGTTTGGGGGTCAAAAGGTCAAAGGTCAAGGTCACTGGTGAGCTGAAGGTAAATGGTTTCTGGATGATAACTTGAATTAGAAATGAGATTTTGGTGTGTATCTTTGGTAGGGGATTGCCCTTGGAAGTAGGCAAGTTGGGATAGGTTTTGGGGTCAAAAGGTCAAAGGTCAAGGTCACCGTGGTGAGTTAAATGTAAATGGTTTTTGGATGATAACTTGTTAGAAATGAGATTTTGGTGTCTTACTTTGGTAGGGGGTTACCCTTGGGAGTAGGCACTTTGGGATAGGTTTTGGGGTCAAAAGGTCAAAGGTCAAGGTCACTGTGGTGAGTTAATGGTTTCTGCATGGAATGTCAGTTTGCCCTTTTCGACAAACTTTGGCTGAGGGGTTTCAACAGCAACGCTGTTATTTTTTGAAAGTGCTCCCACTAAGTGTCATTGTTTTACGCTCTATTTTTAATGTAGAAAAGCAAAGAAGACACATGGAAGGCTGATGAGTTGGAAAGGTCCATCAAGGTAAGATTACAAGGATCATTGAGTATGGCTTGATTGCATTCAGCAGCCATCTTGGAGGTTTTGAAGCTTATTCATTAAACAATGAATGCACAAGAGGTCTACTCATGCGTGTCCCCATTGACAAATAAGCACACACCTCCAAGATGGCTACAATTCAAACAAGCCATACAGCCAACTCTCTCTAACTGAGACCCCGTTCCCACTAGATCCACCAATTGGGGGATCTGATCACCTTTTGCCAAATTGCCGAATCAGATCGCCCAATTGGTGGATCAGATCCAGCAATTGTGTGTAATGGGAACGCTAACCTTTATAAGGTGGATCAGGATCAGATCCACCTTTCTCGATCAACCTCTGGACTAGGATACAGATCCCCCAATTGGTGGATCAGATCCTGCAATTGGCAGATCATGCTCAAATGGGAATGCAAAAGGTGGATCTGATGCGGCAATTTGACCTGTCAACATCCGCCCGGTGCACGAGTGGCACGAAAATTGTGCGGTCTTATGAATGAAGAAACACGTTTTTAGGCATGTAGCTCGTAAGAAAAATTCCAGTTTGCACAACATGCACAATAAACAACTGCCGAACTACAGGCTTGCAAAATGTGTCACGACGCATGCATGATGCATGCATGCAGCGCACGTGGTATATCCTAATAAAGCTACACTAGGCCTTGTACAATTTTCGTTGGGTATTCGTCCGTTTCAAACCTTTTTCTTTTGTGAATTTTACTTATTTTTACATTCATAAATAACTCTGTGTTAGTGTAAAGCCCGCACTCGCCAAAAACACGTCACTTTGGCACAGTACAGAATCATAGAAAAGTTTACGAGTATGCGATGAGAATAGTGCCGATAACACGGTACGTACAGAGGTGACAAATCTGTAGAATTGATTATAGAAAATTGGAAAATGATGTCGTAGTACATCATGTGACCATTTTTAACCAATGAGAAGCTTCAGAACTGGGGAATTCCTTATCAATGCATTGGTTTCAACCGCGAGAATGTGACATCACACAATGAGCAGCGCTTTTCGATTTCAATAGTTAATTTATGCAAGGATCTATTACGGATCCGTGATTTATGTCGGTGAATTCGTGTAATTTATGTCGGTGAATTCTGATAGCGCTGTTTGAAAATTGACCCATCCTAGCATGCAACAACATGCAATTGTACTCCCACAGAGCGCGCTCAGCAAGCTAGCGCATGCGTAATACTGAACTCAGTGACCTTTCAGACTCGACATTTCCGTTCAAAAAGGTGGATCAAGCATAAGTGGGAACGCGACTTGCGGTTTTGTTGCGGTAAGATAACAATCACACCAAAATGCCGGATCTTGATCCACCTTTTCACAATTCAAGTCGGAACGCAGTGTTAAATGGTTAAGCTGAACTGAAAGTCCAGATTTTACCGAGAGATAATATTCCTCTCAATTCACAATTTAAAGCCACTCAATATTTGTTTTATACCACTGATATACGGTAGATCCTTGTCATTGAGTGGTCGGGCACAACTTGACCACTGTTTAGAATAATTCTGATAAATCTTCTTTCTATCTTTCTTTCTTTTTTCTGGACAATAATTCTCTGTGTTTTTTTCCCTAAACGGTATATGGTATGTACTTGTTAACTTTAACATATATTGACCCTCATTCCTAGTGGTGCATATAACTCTGATGTCATGATGACGTCATCGGGTGTCAAATTACAAGCGATTTTTGTTGAAAAAAATGACGAACATCTTTCACTTATAACTCTCAAACAAAATAATCAATCATGTTCATACGTTGTATTCAGATAGACCATTCATTGATAAACATTTTTTGTCTGTACTTGAACTCGCTTGACCTTTACTTCCGGGTCAACCAGAAGGTTAAAGGGAATATACATCATTTGCTTTTGCTGTAATTTCCAGGAATGGATGGAATTGGGGGGTTGGAAATTTATAGCAAATATAGTTACACTGACTTTTTGGAGGTTTTTGGTTCGAAAATGCTATAAAAACCAAGAAAAACGATCATTTTCCTGTAGTCTGGTTCCCTGACTCCATATAAAAAGAAACAGAGCAGTTTACATACATTGGGGAATTGTAAGGTCAGGGAACCAGTTTAGCTGGCTCGTACCCGTTCATAGGTTTGTAATCGATTGCAAACAAGTGCTATGGTCAATTGGGGCCAGTATTTGAAAAAAAAGCCAGTTGTTTCCAACGCTGATCGGCCGATCAGCGTTGGAAATTGATACAAAAATACCACTTTTCTTGAAAATGACAGTATACCAGGTGCCATGATTTTACAGGATGCTTTACACTGTCATTCACTAACAGTCCAGCAAGGTATTTCAAAATGATTTGGTAGTTTTATTTTTTGATGTTTGCAAATGTTGTATTTTCCCTTTAAAGTATTTGTGAAATAAAAATGCAGACAGAAGCTTAAAACTCAAACCGAACCATTTTTTTCCCCAAACGATTTAGGGGATATGATTAAACCTGGTATGAACTTGAACCCCCATCCCAAGATGTAAAAAATTATCTGATGTCACCGTGATGTCATCAGGTGTCAAATTGCAATCAATTTAAGAGCCAAATTTGAGAAAAAAGTTTCAGCTTTAGAACTAAATAGAGTATCGTATTCGTTTTTCGAGCAGGTTTTAATTGGTGCCTCGGGCAACAATTCTTTTTCCCGGGCACAAAACCGTTTGACTTTAACTTCTGGTATTACCGGAAGTGCAATAAAAATTTAATATAACTCGAAAGCGGAAGCTTTTTATCTATATTCAAATAAATTATGAAAGTGTTATGAAAGGAATAAAGGACACAAAAATTATGATGTCATCTGAAAGGGCGCCCTCTAGGGGTATATCATTTCTTTTCTTTTTTTAAATTTAAAAACCACCCGTCCAATTTGAACCAAATCCCTCAATAACGATGTCAATGAACGTTCCATGTGATCCAGGTAAGTTGATGTTAATAGAGTGGTGTTATGTCATGGAAATAGGCATGGTTGCGGGGCATTTGTGTTTTTTAACACTATTCTTGTTTTTAATTTATTTTTAAAAACTTGCCGTTTGAATGCAGTGAAAGTTACTATGTAAAGCAAGTTTAGGTAGGCCTTCAATATGACATTATAACTGACACTTCTGTACTTCTCGTTTTTTAATTAAAATTAATTAAATCGCATCCTTCCGTTACCAAATTGGTAACGGAAGGACGGTAACGGAAGGACAAATGTTATTTGGGTCAAATGTTACAACATTTGTGCTCATGTTTGAAAAATGAAAATCACTGCAAATACATGCATGTATAATGAGCATTAAAAGGACATTTATGTGACGCACCTTCACGAAGGTGGTATAAGCAGGGCAAGGTGTTCATTACAAAGGATGGCACAGGCATGTACAAATGTATGTATGTCTATGTACTCGTACATAGACATACAATTTCTGTGAAGCCATTCCAGAAGCAAATTAAGTCAAAAATGAGATGGCAGAAAGTACTATTGGGCACTTTCATACAATTTACATGTGTAAGACATGTGAGGTGCAATTTTTTACCCCTCAGCCGAGAGGCTTGAGGGGTATTGTCATCGCCTACTGCGTCCGTCCGTCCGGTACGCACTGACATACGGACGGACGCTCCAGCCAGACGGAATTGTGGGGTGATAGCATTGTATTCCCATTAGGCCCCCTATCCCTTTTTCTAAAGATTCTCTTTTGGGGTGATGTTTTTCTATTGTGAAAATAGTGGGGTGATGTGTCCTGAAAGGAACATCACCCCACAAGGGGGTATGGTCAGAACGGACGTTCCAGCCAGACGGAATTGTGGGGTGATAGCATTGTGTTCCCATTATCCCTTTTTCTAAAGATTCCCTTCTGGGGTGATGTTTTTCTATTGTGAAAAAAGTGGGGTGATGTGTCCTGAAAGGAACATCACCCCACAAGGGTGGTATGGTCAGAACGGACAGCCAGCCGGACGGACGCCGTAGGCGATGACAATACCCCTCGAGCCTCTCGGCTGAGGGGTAAAAATGACATACAAATACATTCTGTACAAAAAGAAAGACACACAAGTATACCCTCGTAAACACCGACGAACGTCCGGGCAGCTTAGTTTCCAGATGATAACTTGAGTTAGAAATGTTGTTTGGGATTGTAACTTTGGTAGGGGGTTGCCCTTGGGAGTAGGCAAGTTGGGATTGGTTTTGGGGTCAAAAGGTCAAAAGGTCAAGGTCACTGTGGTGAGTTAAAGGTAAATGGCCTGGTTACGCCTTCTGGGACTAATGGCAAGTCTAGTGGACCTCATTCCTTGGTGCAGAATGCGAATGCTTCTCATACAACTCCATCTCCTGGCCTTGTATCGTCCGAAACGAGATTCTCTCTCGCTTTTGGTTCCGATTCGGCCCCTAGCACTTCAACATCTCAACTTGTGCCGCCAACGGGTAAACCTCAGTTGCGGAGTGACCTTCCCTCGACCTCAACCCACCTTGATTCTGACGACCGACGCATCCATACAAGGATCCATACTTGGGAGCAGAGACCACAGCCAGAATGTAGTCCCCAGAAGAGAGTTTATATCACATCAACGCTCTAGAGTTGTTAGCAGTCCAACAAGCTCTAATTCATTTTTCCAAACTGGTGACAGGTCATCATGTTCGGATCATGTCCGACAACTCGACAGTCGTCTCGTATGTCAACTGACAGGGGGGGACTCGGTCCCCCCGTTATGTTTATGTTGGTGCCTAGCGAACAAGGTGCGACTATCTGCATCTCACCTCGCAGGGAAAGTGAACACCCTGGCAGACGGCCTATCCAGGGGCAAGGTTATCCCCACAGAGTGGACTCTTCATCGAACTGTGGTTGAGGCTATCTTCAAGAAATTCGACCGACCTCACATAGATCTGTTTGCGTCAGCCCTAAACCACCAGCTGCCGGTATACTCGATCGATCGATTGGACAAACATGTAGGCTTTTGCGTACCCTCCGATCTCACTAATTCCAAGAG